ATTAGCACTGTCATTGCCATTACCATTACCATTGCCATTGCCATTGCCATTCGCCACTACCATTACCAGTGCCATTCGCCACTACCATTACCATTACTATTGCCATTGCCATTGCCATTCCCCACTACCATTACCATTGCCAATACCATTACCATTCCGATTCACATTCCCATTCCCAATACCAATACCATTACCACTGCCATTGCCATTGCCATTACCATTACCTTTACCTCTACATTTACCTTTATCCTTACCCTTACCATTCCCATTTCCGTTACCACTACCACTGCCATTTCCATTCCCGTTCCCAATCCCATTCCCATTCCCATTCCCATTCGCATTTCCATTCCCGTTCCCGTTCCCATTCACATTACCATTACCATTGCCATTACCATGGCCATGGCCATTACCATTGCCATTCCCATTGCAATTGCCATTGCCATTGCCATTACCATTACCGTTGCCATTGTCATTGCCAGTCGCGACCCTGTTACCACTATCATTACCGTTACCATTACCAGTAGCACTACCAGTACCTCTGTCATTACCATTACCATTCGCATTGCCATTGCCATTGCCATTAGCCACTACCATTACCATTGCCAATACCATTTTCATTGCCATTCTCATTCCCATGACCATTGCCATTACCATTACCATTATCATTTCCATTACCATTACCGTTACCTCTACCTTTACCTTTACCCTTACCCTTATCATTCCCATTTCCGTTACCACTACCACTACCACTTCCATTCCCGTTCCCGTTCCCATTCCCATTCCCATTCACATTCCCATTCCCGTTCCCATTCCCACTACCATTGCCATTACCATTACACTTACCATTGCCGTTGCCATTACCATTGCCATTGCCATTACCATTGCCATTGCCATTGCCAATCCCATTGCCATTGCCATTACCATTACCGTTGCCAATGTCATTGTCATTGCCATTGCCAATCGCTACCCCGTAACCATTACCATTACCGATAGCGTTACCATTACCAGTACCGTTACCTCTGCCATTACCATTACCATTGCCACTACCATTGCCATTGCCATTCGCCACTACCATTAACATTGCCAATACCATTTCCATTCCCATTCCCATTACAATTACCATTACCATTACCGCTGTCATTACCATTAGAATTCCCATTATCATTCCCATTCCCATTCCGAATACCATTACCATCTCCATTACCATTTCCATTACCATTACCAGTGCCATTACCATTACCAGTGCCACTATCATGCCCATTCCCGTTCCCGTTCCCATTCCCACTCCCATTCCCATTACCATTACTATTACCATTACCACTGCCATTGCCATTACCATTGCCATTACCTTTACCTGTACCTTTACCCTTACAATTACCATTCCCATTACCATTGCCATTCCCATTACCATTGCCATTGCCATTGCCATTCCCATTGCCATTGCCATTACCGTTGCCATTGGCATTGTCATTGCCTCGCTACCCCGTTACCACTATCATTACCGTAACCATTACCAATACCATTACCATTACCACTGTCATTACCATTACCATCGCCATTGCCATTGCCATTCGAGGATTTCAGTCGGAATCATTCAGTGGAGGGTGTCAGTAGGAATCCACATGTGGAGGATTTCAGTAGGATTCATCCAGTGGAGGGTTAGGATTCATTCAGTGGAGGGTTTCGATAGGAACCCTTCTGTCGAGGATTTCACTGTGAATCCTTCTTATGGACGCGTTCCATAGGAATCCTTCTAGGGGGAGGGCAGATGTGGCCACGTCGCATTCCTTTTTTTGTTTCTCCTGGCGTCCCCCCCTGGCGCCCCCCCCCCCCCCGGGAGGAAAACAAAATCTGGGGGGGGGCGCCAGGAGACAAACAAAAAGGCAGAAAGGTAGGAGGAGGGGGAGAGGGAGGAGGAAGAGGAGGAGAAGGAGGAGGCGGAGGAGGAGGAGGACGACACAGAGCAGAGTTTGCACAGAAACAATCGCGAACTCAGCGCGAAGGCCTCGCGCGCGCTTTGGAACCACAGGGACTCCACAATCCCTCGTTCTGGAGGAGGAGGAGGAAGAAGAGGAGGAGGAGGAGGAGGAGGAGGAGGAGGAGGAGGAGGTTTTGACAAAAGAACTACTGGCGAGCAACTGCTGACGCCAGTCTGCTGAGACGTACCTCAAGCAGAGGCGCGGGGGGAAGCCGAGGGTGGCGCCACTTACATGCGGGCACAAGAAAGGCGCAGGTGCAACCAACGAAGGCACCAGAACGCCAAGAAGCCCAACCGCAACCTAGAAAGCAACAAGCCGGCTACGCGAAACTACATTCCAGAATCCATCGACACTGCACTCCTCACTTCTGGAGGGACGCAGGAAAGCACACGCGCCACCAAGGGCACTTACAAGCACGCGCTACGGGCCGCACAGTTTTTCGAGCCGCGTCCGCCTCAGATAAGACGCCCCCTCCTGAGCGCCGCCCCAATAAGCCACCCGAGGGGCGCCACTCCCTCGGGCGACCGCACACCCCCACGCACGCCAGGGCGGGGGGCCCTGATCGTGGGAAGGATGGGTGTGGTTCCTCCTATGGACCCCCCCGCAACCCCCCACCCGCCCGAGCCCAGGCGGAGTACCCGGGGGCCACCGCAAGGGGTGGGTAAACGTGGCGACGAAAGCAATGTTCTCCACCCCTTGGCCCCTACGGGCAAACAGGGGTGACGAACGGGCTGCTACCCGCCTGTTTACCTGGGAAGGGGACCCAGTGGCACAGGTGGGTCAGGGGAGGAGGAGGGGGGGAGGAGGAGGAGATGGAGGAGGAGGAGGAGGAGGAGGAGGAGGAGGATGAGAAGGGGAGGAGGAGGAGGGAGTGAGGAGGAGAGGGAGAGGAGGAGGGGGGAGGGAAGGAGGTCGGAGGAGGAGGACGAGGAGAAGGAGGAGGAGGAGGAGGAGGAGGAGGAGGAGGAGGAGGGGAGGAGGAGGAAAGGAGGAGAGGAGGAGGAGCGAGGAGGAGGAGGAGAGGAGGAGGAGGAGGAGGGAGGAGGAGGAGGAGGAGGAGGGGAGGAGGGAGGAGGAGGAGAGGAGGAGGAGGAGGAGGAGCGGAGGAGGAGGAGGAGGAGGAGGAGGAGGAGGAGGGAGGAGGAGGAGGAAGAGGACGAGGACGAGGACGAGGAGGAGTAGGAGGAGGAGGAGAAGGAGGAGGAGGAGGAGGAGGAGGAGGAGGGAGAAGGAAGGAGCGAAAGAGGCTGATGGAGGATGACGGGGGTGTCGGGTGCACCGACGTGAACCCTGGGGGGCCTAGGCTGGACCAGGGTCGGTGTGCGCAGGCGGGTCGATCCGCGACCCAGCGGGTCCTTGCCCATGACAGGCATCCCGCCAGACCTCTTGGAAACATGGGAGGGGGGAGGACTAGTCACAGGAGAAAGGGACAGGTGGATGAGGAGGAGAAGGTGGAGGAGGGACAGGAGGGGGATGACAATAAGGAGGAACATGAGGCGGGGGGAGGGAGGAGGGAGGATGCAGGAACAGGATGGGGGAAGGATGAAAGACATGAGGCGGGTAGCAGGAGCAGAAACAGGACGAGGAAGAGCAGGGCGACGACAACGACGACGCGGACGGAGCACGCATGGCCGGCGACGGCAAGAGAAGAAACGCCCGACTTGCCTTCCAATGCCCACACTCGTCAAACAGACCGCCCCCACCCCCTCACCCACCTCTTCTCTCCCCGTCCCCCTCCCTCCATCCCCGTTCTACTCCATCCCTCCATGATGCCCCCCGCGTCCCGCCGCCCCTTCTCCCTCTACGCCGCCCCCCCCTCTCCCTCCACACCCCCCATTCCATCTGCCCTCTCCCCCTCCCCCTCCCCCATTATCCCTCCCTATACTTGCACAGTATGAATGCTGCTATCCTCTCTCCCAAGGCTACGTGCGGCAAGTATCTCGCCCCCTTTCCACGTTTTGTTTTCCCACGCACGATTGCAACAAGGTGGAAGTTCCTGTGATGTTGCAGTCCGATTGCTTTCGGTGTTTCAAAATGGTGCTACCGCTGCAGCGAGGGTTTCGCTTTCGGATCGGCGCTTTGCCCCCATCGGTCAGAAAAGGCGCTCCCGCCTCAACGCGGGCCACTCTTCGGGATCCGAGTCCCTTTTTTTATAGCGGTTGCGCCCTCATTTGCCCTCCTCCGCCTTCCCCTGGTCTTCCTGCTCCTCCCACTCACTCCACTCCAGTCCGTGCTGCTGCTGTTCATCCTCGACTTCCTCCTTCCTCACAATCCTCTTTTTCCTCCAGCTTATTTTCCTTCTCACCCGCCGCCACCTCCTCTTCCTCGTCCTCTTCCTACGTGCGCAGCTCCCCCTTTTCCGATTGCGCATGATGCATGATGCGAAAGACGTCTTCTCCTTGGGTTCCAGGTCGGCAATCTCACTCGTCCGTGGATAAGCAATCAGCGCAATGGGAAGGGATGGGGGGAAGGGGTGGGAATATCAGATACGGCGCGCGCGCATCTAGCTAACCCTCTCCCCCTCTCCCTGTCCCTCTTTCCCTCCCCCCCCCTCCTTGCGCGCCCCCTCGCATCCTGCCCCCGAAGAGGACGAGGCGGAGGAGAAGGAGGAGGAGGAGGAGGAGGGGGAGGAGGAGGAGGACGAGGGATACGAACTGGAGGAACAGCATGAGCATGATGATGAGCATAGACATGGGCAGAAGGAGGATACCCCAAATGACAGGAGGAGGGGGAGGATGAGGAGGTGGAGGAGGAGGCGGAGGAGGAGGAGGAGGGCCCCGAGGGCTCTGATGATACGGGTCTGTCCATCGACCCCTGGCACGCTGGCTTTAGCGGAGCCGCCTACGCGGCCACGCAGCCGAGACCGATGACCCAGCAAGACGAGCAGACTGCCCCCTACGGTCCCTGCTGTCAGAGGCCAACAGGAACCATGGCTGACAACCCACACCAACGAGCAGCACCCGACAGCGGCGACGCGCCGCGGACCCCTGCATGCGAAGACCCGCATGCAAGGCTCCTCACCTTGGAGCCCCGCTTCCACGGGTCGCTGGACTCGCAATTCTTCGAGACGCCGATCCCCCCCACGAGCCGCTTGGCCCAGGCGCGGAACTGGCCCGCGGCGATGCCAGGCGGAAGGCCCAACTCCACCAGCTCCCTCTCCGAGGTGCTCTCGCAGAAATCGTCGAAGCTGATTTCCTTCTCCTCCTCCTTCTTCTCCTCATCCTCTGCGCTCAGCTGCGGGAAGGGAGGGGACTTCTTGAACTCCACCTCGCCGAGCTTCTCGTCCTTCACCAGAACGACGAGCACAACGACCGTCGCCAGCCTCCATACTGCGATCCTATCCTCCCGCGCCTTCTCCCTTCTGAGGTACGCGTCGCGGTTGATCTTCCACACCTCGCTGGAACTATCCAGCTTCGCCTCCTCCGTGAACTCCAGCTCGTCATTGAACCAGCGGCCCCAATCATCGAGGTCATTGTGGCCGTCGCCCACCAGGCTGAAAACCTCGACGCCGCACAGCACTGTGCCCCCGACCTCGCACTCGTTGACCGAGTTCCCCTTCAGCCCACCTCCCGCGGCCCCGAAGATGAACGGCTCCTCCGACGCTTCCTGTTTTTCTTATTATTATCCTTCTTCTCCCTCTCCTCCAGACTGCACTTCCCGCTGGGGCTGCCCACCTTCACGAGGTGGCCCATGACCGTCGGCCGATCGCCTTGCCACTGGCCAGGGGGCGACTCCTTTCACGGCGCCAGCACCGCCTTGATCTCCCACCTGCCAGGCGGCGGCGAAGGTGAGGAGGAGGAGGAGGAGGAGGAGGAGGAGGAGGAGGAGGAGGAGGAGGAGGAGGAGGAGGAGGGGTGCCGCCTTCGACTTGAACATCTGGCTGCTGTCCCTCCTTGGCCGCCAGCAGCTTCCTCTGCTCCTGGAACGGCGCCTGCGAAGGTCGCGGGCGCAGCGGCGCCTGCGATGGCCGCGGAGGCGGCACCGCTGGCTCCTCCTTCACGGCGGTGCCCGACAAGGTGCTCTCCACCGCTGCTGCCATCGCCGCCTTGACAACCGTGCTGACCACCTGCTCGAGGGTGTCGCCATCCGCACAGTTGAGCTCCTCCTTCCCCTTCTTCTCGAGCCTCCACGGCGCACAGTCTCTCCATGTCATACAGTCAGCTCGAGGGGGCCGGCTGTCCCCAATCGAGGAGGAGAAGGAGGCGGAGGAGCAGAAGGAGGAGGAAGAGGACGAGGAGGAGGAGACGACGTACCCGTTGAGGTTTGTCTGCAGCTTCTCGGGTTTCCGCAGTGTGGCGCTGGGGTCCTTTTCAGGAAGGCATCCCATTACCACTTTCGCCACCTGCGATGCCCGTATCAGCACGCAGGGCAGCCCTCGGGAGACCTCACCGAGAGCTTTTCCTCGACTGCCGCAGAGAAGGATGAGGAGGAGGAGGAGGAGGAGGAGGAGGAGGAGGAGGAGGAGCAGGAGGAGGAGGTGTATGCGTATGGGGGCAGGAGCAGAATCAAGAGCAGCATGGAGGAGGCGGAGGAGCTGCGCAGGGACGAGGCGTCGGCGTCGTCGTACTCGTCGTCGACGTCGTACTCGTCGTCGTACTCGTCGTCGTCGTCGTCGTCGTCGTCGTGCTCGTCGTCGGGGAGGCGGGCCCAAGGCGACGGCGACGGCGGCCTGGTGGTCGCCAGCGTGCGGTCGAAGTCCAGGGCCAGGCGCGCAGGCCGCAGCCGCGCGGCCAGCTGCGCCACGTGCTCGCCGTCGCCCCGCGACAGCCGGCACTCATCGCACGAGTGCGCCTCGCGGGAGGCGCCGGCGGGGGCCCGGACCTCCGACGACTCGAGGTCCACCCCCACGAATCGGAAGGTCGAGGCCCGAGGCCCACGCAGTGCTTGCGCCCGGCATTCTGCACTCCGGTGCCTCAGGGCACTGCGTGGGCTTCCCCGGCTTCTGGCTGGTGGGCGCCTCGTGGGCGCCTCGTGGGCGCCCCGCGCTCGGGTGGGTTGCCTGAGGTTTTGCCCGATGCCCAAACGTGGGCGCCTCGCGGGCGGCCCGTGGGCGCCTCACACCACACAGCTGGGTTACAGAAAGCAGCTCGCACCGCACAGCTCGCACCACATAGCTCACGCCACATGACCTACACACAGCTCGTGCGCAGCGCACCTCTCACCGCATACCTCACCGCGTAAGCATAGATGTTAGCATATAAACGGTTAGACACACATATATTACACAACATAGCACACACCGATCAGCTCACGCCACATAGCTCACGCAACACAGCTTACACTGTATAACTTCCACAGCATAGTTTGCACACCATATCTCATAGCTCACACCACATAGCTTACACAACACAGCTTACAGCATATAGCTCACACAACATAACTTGCCACATAGCTTACACCTCAAAGCTTACACAACGTAGCCTGCACCGCATTCCTTACAAAGCATGTCTTTCATTTTATAATGCAAAACACACAACGTCTGGGGCCCACGCAGGACAACGTAATGTAGACGTACAAATCAGCACACATGTGTGTCTACTAGTTGTGGCTCTTTGGTGGGCCCTCTGAAGAGCATCCTAGGCGTTTCGAACCATATTGCAGCAACATGGATCACAATGTTCGGCTTCCAAGGGCCATTTCCGAGACCCCGGGTAGTCGTAGAACAGTTCGGGATGCAACGCTGGCCCTGGGGGAGGGTCCGAGAGGTCCTGGGGCCAGTGACGGGTGGCTCAAAGAACTCCAGTCGTCGGAGATCTGGGCGAGGGTAGAGGACTCCTCCTCACGAGTATCCCTCTTTCTCCTCCCCCCTTCTCCACGTGCGTATGCCCATGCATGCTCCTCAGCCTCCTCCTCCTCCTCCTCCTCCTCCTCCTCCTCCTCCTCCTCCTCCTCCAGGGTCCCTCTCTCCTCCTCCTTGGGGAAGTGGAGGAGTTGGAGGAGGAGGAGGACTAAAAGGGGAAGGGGTGGAGGAGGAGAATCATAATAGGGAGCAGGAGACCGAGGCGGAGGAGGAGGGCGGGAGGGCGAGAGGGGAGGACGGAGGGATAGAGAGAGAAGCAGCATCGGTTTCGTGCTGGCGGGCGGGAGCGCGGGTGGGAGGACGGCATCGGCTGAAGCGCATGTCCGATGCATTCCTGAAGGGCGGCCCCGCATCGCGATAGCTCGAGCCCAGGACAAACAACTGCACCGCATCCCTCGGTCTGATTTGTCCAGCATCCGACGCTGCGACGACCACAGGGCTGCCCTGGACAAGCGCAGCGTGTGCCTGGTGGGCAACAGCAGGAGCAGCAACCGCACGCGCGGCAACAACGGCCACAACCACGACGACATCCGGCCGCCAAGGAAGCCCCCTTCGTGCGCTGGCGGGCGCCGGCGCGCCCAAACGAGACAGCCAGTGGGGCTGATGCGAGAAGCAAGGAATGGCCTCACCCTCCTCCTCCCCCTCCTCCTCCTCCTCCTCCTCCTGGTCCTCCTCCTCCTCCTCCTCCTCCTCCTCTCTCTCCTCCTCCTCCTTCTCCTCCTCCTCCTCCTCCTCCTCCTCCTCCTCCTCCTCCTCGTCCTCCTCGTCCTCCCCGTCCTCCTCCTCCTCCTCCTCTTTCTCGCCCTCCTTCTTGCCTTCCTCGTCGTCCTCTACGCGCTGCTCTGCCCGCCCCGGCGCACCCCCCCCGCCCCGCCTCGCACTTGAAGCAGCATCGCGCGTGCGGGCAGAACCACGAAGGCTTGCACCCCTGATGGGGCGGGGGCCCCAGATGAAAGCGAGGAGGGCAAGACCGAGGGGAAAAAGGAAGGGGGGAAAAATGGGGAGGGGGAGGGGGAAGGGGGGGGAACCGAATGCGAGGGGACAGAGCGAATGGGGACAGGGGGGCAGGGGGAGGAGGGGGGAAGAGGGTTAGTCAGAACGGGTGGAGGTGGAGCGTGCCCTGTCCGGCGCCCTCGAACCGAGTCTAGCAGCGGAGCGGCTTCCACTTCGCGCATCCTCGTTTCCTTGCAGCATCACCTGACTTTGCGGGCCCCCAGCCGCATGGGCTCGTGGACCTAGCCGACAATTCCAGCTCCCTCGCGGCCGACAGCATACAGACCGCTGCAGCGCAAATCCTTCGCCCGACACTGGGATTTCCGCGTCAAGCTCTCGAGCAACCCGAGGTCACCTCGCTCCGCCCTTCGCGCCGCGCGACACGTGGCTGCCTTGGCGACCTCGCGCGGCCAACTCGGAGAAGGGAAACTTTCCAGCCCAGGCCGCGCAGCGCGGACTGCGGCTGCATTCGGCCTGATGAAATTTCGTCAGCCCGGGCGACTGCCCACGCGCAGCTATCGTCGCCGCCCCACTCGCACCGCCCAGGGACATCGATTTTTCAACATCGCTTCGCGGGAACACTGAATGCACAAATTCCGATGGCAAGCGTCCGGGTTATCATGCTCCCCGTCGACACTACACGCAAAGGATTTCATCACGGATTCGTTTTCCATGCTTCGGCGCGTGACCTCTTCGAAAACGCATTGGGGTGCAATGCGCATGAAGTAACGCACGCGCACTCAACAACTTAGCGCGCTCTCGAGGCCAGTGCGCGGGCGCAACGGCCTAATGCGTGAAACGGCGGCATGGTTGAGCCTGATATCGAGGCGCTGACCGCGCGAAATACCTGGGGCGCAGACACGGCAATCCCCGGAAGGACCGTCGTCCTCATCGCCCTCGTTGTCTAGTCCCCCCGTCGCCCTCGTCTTCTAATTTCCCCGCGCTCTTGCTTCGCCTTGGGGCTGTCGCGGTGTCGTCTGGGGCCGCCTTGGAGCTCTCATGGGTCGCTTTTGGAAGCCTTGGGGGCCAGTCACAGGCTATCTTGGGTGGTCTTGGAAGATTATCTTGCTTTCTGGGACCTCCGGGGGTCGCCCGGGGAGGTTCCCAGGGGAGAAAGGGCACCGAAATACAAGGGAGAGGCCGGCCTGGGGCCCTGGGCCCAGGAGCTCCCTTATATGTAGATATGTCGAGAGAGGGAGGGAGGGAGGGAGGGAGGGAGGGAGGGAGGGAGGGAGAGAGAGAGAGAGAGAGAGAGAGAAAAAAAAAAAGAGAGAGAGAGAGACAGAAAGAGAGAGAGAGAGAGAGAACAGAGAGAGAGAGAGAGAGGGGGAAAGAGAAACATGAGAGAGAGAGAGCGAGAGAAATTAATACCTGAATCTATACCTCTTGAGATAACGAGCTGGAGGGGGAAAGAGGTTGGAAGGGAGGCAGGGGTGGACGACTGCGAGGCACGTGCCCACCCTGCGCTGTCCACGCTGCGTTGCTCACCATGCCTGCTCACCAGGCCGCCGGCCTGGCCTTGCTCCCTCCCTCCCCGTCCGCACAACAAGCAGCAGCAGCACTGCTACCTCCTTACCCTCATCCGCCGCCGCGCCTCCGAGAAGGGACACCGCCCCGCAGCCCGCGCAGCGCCCTCGCACTCGCAGCACACGCCTGGCGCCCGCGTCAGAGGAGGGGGGAGGGCCGGAGAGGCAGGGGGGAAGGAGGGAGGGGAGGGGGGGGGGGGGGGGGGGAGGAGGGGGAACGAGGACGGGGACGCAGATTTTCTGAATG